GTAAATAAACATGAGAAACCCTAATGTGATAGCGGGTGAAATATGCATAACTCACAAGCATATGAGTCATCGAATGTCTCCGCGGTTACAGAAAATTAAACTTGCATGCACTGTGGACAGTTGGGTTTTCTGAAACCAAGGAAGCTTGTTTTGGAGCACGAGTCGGCGCTGGCTGTGGACTTGGTCCGGCTCAAAGTCGGCCGCGATCGGGTCACTTAGGTGAGCGGGCGGAGGAAGCGCTCCATTTCCGTGGAAACAGAAGGCCCCCTGCGTCCAAAGCCAATGGCATTTTCCCCCCAAAGCTTCACACAACTTTCATTTTGATGTGGTTTTACGAAAAACACTGAGATTATTTTATTGCCCCGGGATTCCAGGAAATGTTCCTCTTACTTCCTCGGATCAGTGGGATAAAAGTAGATCAGCCCGTGAAGAATCCCCTGTGCCGTCTTACGTTACACTTCCTGAGCAAAAATGTTTACCTAAAAATTCTCGGTTCCTGTGGCTTTATTTTTAGCTCTAGCAAAAGGGTTTATCTTTCACCGCTTTGAGGTTCCACGGCAAGTTAATTACAGATTCACACTTTGAATCTCCGCTGCGACACTCGATCGGATGCAAACATGACCGCACTCCACAGGGTCCGGGAGGCAGCTGTGTGGAAGCTGGACCTGGGTCGAGGTGATGGCCCCGCAGAAGACAAGATCTTTCATGGGACACATTCGGGCCTGTGCCTTTGAGTACCTGGTTATTGCATGTGGCAGGATCGCATCTTTCATGACTTGTCTACTGTATATACTGCAGCAGTCTGGGGAGACCAGCATGGCCTTGATTCATGACCTACATGCTGGAATGATTATGATGCCTTACACGGTGAATTGAAAGTTCTTAATATTTTAATGACTGTGATTTATGTTTGCACTGTAAAAATAACAGTTCATGTCTCTCACACTGTAATAACTGTGAATCACATCTTTCACAGAATTATAGTTGTGGCTCATGTCCTTGACACAGTAATGTCTGTGATTCATGTCCTTCACACTATAATGACTGTTACTCATGCCTTTCACACTGTTATGATTGTTCATGTCTTTCACAATATAACGACTGTGATCCACGTCCTTCACACTATAACGATTGTAATTCATGTCTTTCACAGTTGACTGTTCATGTTCTTCACACTACAATGACTGTGACTCATGCCTTTCCCACTATTACGTCTGTCCATGTCCTTCACCGTGTAATGCAGGGGTGGGGAACCTGATCCATGGAGGGCCGGTGCGGGTGCGTGTTTTTGGAATGACCTCTCAATCAGCCAATAATAAAGCAACTCCAGTCCTGGGGACCTACTATTATTGGCTGATTGACAGGTTGTCCCAAAAACCCGTACCCACAGCTGCCCTGCATGGATCAGGTTCCCCATCCCTGGTGTAATGGTTGTGACTGAAAAAAATGAAAGCTTCCTGTCAGACTGCAGTATATATGATAAACACAGACAGTACAGGAAGTGACTTCAGTCGTCCAACTGTACTGCATGTCACACAGCTCGTCTTCCCAAATTTTCATCGTCCTTCTTCCTAAGACACAACGCCACCCCAGAGCGTTCCAGAGACCCGCCGAGAGGAGTGCTGCACCATCTCCGAGGCCGCTGTTTGGGACACAGGTTCTCCCCGCGGTGCCTGTCCGCTGGGCCGACGTAGCAAGCCGCGCCACAGTAAATCAAGCGCCTCTCACAGCCACGATCAGAGTGACACATTGTAAAGTTTTACACTTGCGCTCATCCGGATAATTACACAATTCATTTTCACTTAGACCAGCTGAAGGGAGGGGGGTAATGAAATTTCCACTGGTGTACCGTTACATCCTCGGGGTCGGAGGTCAGTTTCCTGTTTGGATAAGGGGAGGTTTAAAGAGCCTTTTTTTTGGATGGTCTTTGACTTTCAGCTGGATGGAAGGCAAGCGAGGTGATGGAATTCTACTTTGCCACTAACCCCCGATGAAAGGAGCAGATGGCGGGCTGTGGGGGTGGGGTTTAGGGGCTCTCAGTGCAGGTGGAGACAGGCACCTCAGGGCTAGTTTAACATGGAGACATTATTTTCACTAGCCTCC